TTGTTGATGGTTTTGTTTGCTGTGCAAAAACATTTTAGTTTGATATAGCCCCATTTGTTTATTTATTTAATTTTTTTTTGTTTCCTCTGCCCGAGGAGATATATCAGAAAAAATATTGCTACAAGAAATGTCCAAGATTTTACTGCCTTTGTTTTCTCCTAGAATGTTTATGGTTTTGAGTCTAACATTTAAGTCTTTAATCCATTTTGAGCTTATTCTTGTTCATGGTGTAAGAAGGTGGTCTAGTTTTAGTTTTTTGCACATATCTGTCTAATTTTCTGAACACCATTTATTGAATAGACTATCTTTACCCCATTGTAAGTTTTTGCCTCCTTTGTGAAATATTTATTGACCATAAAGGCATGGGTTTATTTCTGGGCTCTCTATTCTGTTCCATTGATCTACATGTCTGTTTTTATGCCAGTACCAGGCTGTTTTGATTACAATGGCCTTATAGCATAGTTTGATATCAGGTAGCATGATTCCTCCAACTTTGTTCTTCTTTCTCAAGATTGCTGTTGCTATTCAGGGTCATAGTCCATCTGAAGCCACAGAGTCACCCTCTCTTCTTTATTCCATTTTAATATGCCCGGCTGGGCTATCTAGTCAAGCTCCCCAATGAAGGTTATAGAATAAGCCACATGACTGCAAGCCAAGTAATTGCCAGCCTTATAGAATGCCTCCAACTCAACAAAACAAGAGCACACATTTAAAAAATTATGTTGCTTTTTTCCTTATCACAGATAATTACATTACAAATAAATTGCTATTCTCTTCTTTGAAAAATAATGTATTCTATGGTGAGATGCTTTATGTCTACTTCTGAGCATTGCATTAGAAAAGAGTAGCACTACACTAACATATTCAAGTGACCAGAATAGTGAGAAAACGAAGGTGACCCATTGTTCCAGTTTGCTGGGGATGGAGGGAGTTTCCAGGATGTGGGTCTTTGAATGCTAAAACCAAGAAAACAAACTAAGACAAGTTGGTCACCCTAGGACAAACCTGAAAAGTTGGTCACCCTAGGAAGAACATGACAAGTTGGTCACCCTAGCATTTCAAAGAAATGCTAAAGAGTTTCAGCACATTTATCCTGGTAAAGATTTTGGAGAAGGTATGATAAATTCTTCTGTATATATTTAAAGGCTACTATCATTTTCTTCTGTATAGCCCCAAGAGGTTACAAGGATCCATAGATAAATTTATAGATTTTGGTTCAATGTAAATAAAAACTATTCACAGTAATACTAGCCTAAGGATGGAATGGGATTGATCAAGAAGTAGACTTTGACGAAAATCCTCAAGTAATAGGAAGCATTCAGTGTAAAGACGCATCAGGGATGCTAGAGAGGGGATTTGAATTTTTGGAGGAGAAAGGGTTTGGATTATATGGTCTTTAGGGTGCCTTCCAATTTTGTTTTTAAAGTTTATGATTCTACTAGGATCACAGGATATTGTGATTTAAGTAAGAAAACCAATATAAGTTTGAAAATCTCACATTCATTATCAAAAAATAATAGAAGATTTTGAAATAGCAAAATAAGGAGAACCATGTGGCAAAAGAGAAACCTAAATTAATCTGAGGTTAGTGTAAGAAGTGATGTAAGCTGTCAAGTCACTTTTGAAGCAGCCTCGGATAAGAGATCAGCCATGGATGAAGAAAGACCATTTTAGAAGAGAATGAGAAATAGTCACTGAGGATGGTAAAGTAGTTCAAGCATTAAATTAATTCTTACATGTTTACCAAAGGGATGACAAAAAAATATGCCTACTCTTCTGTGTCTCAAGAAAAGCATTTAAGTCACCAGGGTGGCTGAAATGCCAAGTATCCAAACAAGATCAGTTCCAAGTATTAATCTTAACTTTGCCTGCTCCAAATTTCTATATTAAGAGAGAAATTTTAAGCCTGACCTTGACTTCTTGCATTTGGGTTAAGTAGCACCAGGGACTGGCAAAAATGGAAGTCATGCCCAAAGTACTTCCATCTGTCTGGGACCAACCAGTTTTAGTGCCCGCAGGGCAGAACAGCCCTTTATAAGATTGAATGAAAAAGAACTGGTTGAACTCCAGATCCTGAGGCACTAATACACACCTGAATCTCATTTTCAAAACCTTGCTTTCATAACACATTCATTATCAAAAAAGTAAGAGGGAAGTTTGCTAATTTTCAAAACTTTCCCACCCCTACTTCCTTATGTATATTAAGAATGAGTTTTGTTTTCTGTTGTTTTTTTCCCTTCTTTTTCTGTTTTTTAAAAAATTTATCTTTATTGTTAAAAGTTTTACAGATGTTCCCTTTCCCCCATTGTTCCCCTCCACCCCGCATCCATCACACGTCCAAGCCTTCTCCATATCAATGTCTGTGTCCATAGGTTATGCGTATAAGCATATAAGTTCTTTGATTAATCTCTCCC